AGGGTTTAGGGGGTGGGAGAGGGGAGGGCAAGCCTAGGAGGAGAAGATGGAAGGGGCGCTGCCTTCGAAGGAGTCTCTTTCCTCCTGTCTTCTACCCCCACCCCCTACTCTTAATTCTCCTGGAGGCAATCCCCAAGATCAGGGGGGAACAGGTGGGTTAGTCTTCAGCCGGGGAGAAAAGAATCAAATTTCCTGTTGTAACCTGAGGGAGGGAGAGGCAACCTGGCTCCCTCCTGCCAGCTAGTTGGGACTACAACACCTCTCCACCTCAAGCAGCAAGGGCTTAGAGACATAAATTGGGGAGGAGCAGCCCTGAACCTGGAGAGGTTGCCTAGCCCAGGGCTTAGCCTGTCTGTGTTCAGGGGAGAGGGTGGCCACCATACGGGAGACGCAAGGATCCTGTCAAGTCTCACCTTCACAGTGGACAACTCCGAGTGGGAGGAGAACAGAAGAAGGGTGGATTGTTGTGGAGAAAGGACCTCTAAGAAAAGCTTTGATTCTCACCTGGGCAATCCTCTGGGTCCCCCCTTCTCTTTCTTTACCCCATTCTCGGTTTCTTCCCTCCCGTAGGTGCTGGTCAACATTGGGCTCAACTTCGACTCGGAACGCAGCACTTTCATTGCACCCCGAAAGGGCATCTACAGCTTTAATTTCCACGTGGTGAAGGTGTACAACAGGCAGACCATCCAGGTGAGAGTGTATGGCTTCTTGGCCGAGGAACTTTCCTTTCTGCCCTGGGAGAGAAGCCCCCCCCTCCCCGTTTATGTGAGTGACAGGGACCAACTTTTTTCAACTCAGTTGTAAGGTCTGGTAAGGAATCTACACCCTTGAATTAAACTAGGGTTCTTTCTGAGTCAGCTTGTGTAGGACCATTGCTGCACAGTGAATGTTGACACTCTCTGCAAGGTGCGAGGAGGTATGTGTGCACACATTGGTGTGTGAGTATATAGGTATCGATGATTAAGTGGGTGCGTTTATATCCATCACCTCAGGGCAAGAATCGAGTGCTAGAAATCACCTAGAAAAGGGTAATTCTTAATCCCCTGTATAGAATACCCATTCTTGTAAGAACAACTTTTTTTTTTTTGGTGGATTTTGAAATTCAGGTCCATATAAAATATGGTGGAGACCTGATAGATGTATAGTTGACTGAGGTTTCCATTGCAGAACTATGCTGTATGGGCTATATATGTGGGGGTTTATGCATGTATGTACAGGTACGGATTTACACAGAGAGAGAGAGAGATTTAATACGTCCATGCAATGGTTAAATACGTCCATGCAATGGTTAAGAAATTGTGCTGGGCCCTGGAAGGTTGTAGTTTAATTCTCCCCTTGATTTTGGAACTCTCTTGCAGCCAGTCACTTAAGCACTCTGCCAAGGAAACGAGTGGCGAAGCACCCTTTCAATCCCCATCGTTAATACATCTGTCCATTTCCTCAGCTACGTCTTTGTCTGGCTTCCCACCATTCTGGATCTGAAAACAGTTGCCAAGAGCTCCTCTCCCTAAATTGAGCATTTCTGATGTGTAGAAAAAGGGTGTCAGTTGTTCTCCTTCCCACTCAGGGTCTTCATCTCTTCAGTCTTTTGTGCCTTAATCCATGCATTTGCTTAAAAGTATTTCCCATTCTATAAAGTTGGATCTTGTTCCAAGAACACATATTTAATTATCAGGCTGAATGCTAAGTTTGTGCTCCCTTACTAAGATGTAGATTGTATCCATGCAGGGCTTTTCTTCCCAGTGATAACATTCTTTTAAATGTTCTCCTAGGAAGAAATTCCTTTAAAGTGGCAGTCGGAAGGGTAGGATTAAGTTATATTCACAACAAGCATCAAATGTGTTATAACTGTAAATCTAGCATGTGGAGTAAAAGGAGGGTGGTCGTATTTTAGAGTAAGTGTGGACAAAACCATCAGCCCCAGTCAGGTTTATTTAGAAGTAAGTTATATTGATTTCAGTGAGCTGAAGTTCAGGATTTTATTTTAGAGAGTACTGCAGAACACACACACACACACATAGAGTAGATATAGGCATACAGAATGATTGCCTGCCTGATTGAATTTCATCTTGGAGACAATAACAAGTTCTTTGTTATAGATGCAACCATTGTTCTAGATAACTCTTTCATCCACTGTCTGCTGTCCTCGTAGGGGGTAAGCACTGTGTTTTAATCCTGTAGTTTTGCTGTTGTAAAGAGAAACAGAAATGCTCCTTCCCGGAAGCTGATTCCAGCTTTTCTAAATCATCCCTTCCCTCTTTGTGGACTATCAGACAGATGTCTGGGGAAAGCTGTCTTGTCCTAGGATTGAAGTTAAAACAAAAACAAAAAATCTGGGGAAGCTGAATTACGTTTCATGAAGATGTTACCTTTTTGGGCCAACACGAAATGCTGCAAAATATTGTTCACGTTTTTAAGAACTCTTGACTAAGCAAAATGTTCAAATGTCTAGAAGAGGGGGGAAAAATGGTAGGGGGTATTTAAGTCTGGTTTGCATCCAGTTACTATCTTGCAAAGAAAGTTGGAACAGCCGCCAACAGACATACAAAATGAGTCTCTAAGGAGCAGAAATAATGTTAGATGTCCCCAGAGTTTGCTGATGGTGGAATAGCATAAGCAACATCTTCCCAAACCCTAGCTATTTTCAGCTTTTTATGATGAACATTTGTCTTTATAATTGGGACCTAATTAAAAGTCATGTTTTTGAAGGGAGGCAGAAAGTTCAGCCGTGTTGTGTTCACACAACCTCTAGTTCAATGCGCAGTGTGCACACCTGAGTCAGATGTAACCTTGGTTTTCTTGAGTTTTTAACTTTGGTTTCTCCTTGTTTAGCTGGCATTAGCATTTTAAAAGAACTCAGCCTGCTTAGTTAATTTATGACTCAGTGCATTGTGGAGACCTTCTTCCACCCTATGGGTTAATTCAGTAACCAAGTGAATGGATTGTGAAAATGAAATTGGGTTGGCTGGTATGATAGCACCATCTAAAGAATACCAACCAACACCTTCCTTTATTATTTGTTTATTTATTTAATTTATATGCCTCCCAAAGATTCTGGAACTCTTTACTTTCAGCTGCTCCCCCCCCCTCCAAAAAAAGAGAGATCGATTTACTTGGAATCAGGAGCTATGGAGGAGAATTTTAGACTCATTGATTGTCTTCAGGCATGCTCATAGTGAGATTTCCTGGATCTTTGAAATGGAGCATTGTGCTTTCTCTGACCATCTATAAATCTAAATTTGTGGATGAAAGTTCATACCAGAAAATGGGCATGTGAAGTGTCTAGTCCTGTATAGGTTTGCTCAGAAATCATTTTGCTAAACTGAGTGAGATTTAAGCGTGCAGCCTAGGTGCGCTGTGAATACGTTTTCTATCTTTTTCCACCCATAAGGCGCAATTGTATATTTCTTTACCGCAGGTGTTGATTTCTGCTTTAGAAAGCCATAGCAGTAGCTCAATTCTTCAAAAGAGGCTGGAGATTTCTATGTTTAGAGTCAGCTCCCTTTCCCTTTTATCCTAGTCTCCTTGATGGACTTAAAGTGCTAAAAATAAAAGGGGATCGCCTCATTTAAATATATATCCCTAACATTTGGCAATAGGGGTTGTGCATTTTATTAAGCCTTATTAAATTATAAACCTTTTGTTTATAATTTAAGGACTTGATCTTAAGGAAGCACAGAAAGGCTGACATGAGAAGAAGGAAAATTGATCTATGCATTTATGGGAATCTTTAATTACTGGTGGTGGTGGGGTTTGCCATGGATGTATCCAAAGAGTTGAATTTCTACCATTCCTCTGGTAGAAAGCTATAATCTCTATTGGGCCACATTGCCTTTATCAAGATTTCAGCATTTTTGCTGTTCCTCAAAAGAGTAAGTCTCCCCCACCCCACTCCCTGGGACTGATAGGCACTGCTTGGAACCAAACTATTGCCTCCCTTGTCTTGTATTTGAAGGTTTAGCATGGGAGACAAAGCAGCCAGCTTTCCCAAAGGACAAGCCGAGTCTTAGACATACAGAAGGGTGGCTGAGTATATTCCATGCTGGAATTTCAGCCATGTTCCAAATGCATCAAATCTGAGGTCACGTTTGAAGACACTGCTCATAGCACTTACATGACATCATTATTTCCCCTTCTTCTAGAGATCCCTAAAACCATCAGATCTGTACTTGTTTTTTTTTCCCCCTTGTGATTTGATTGTCTTACTCTGCACAATGCTGGGTTGGAAAGCTGGGCTTAAGAAGGTAATTACATTAGTGTTAAAGGGGCTTTGAAAGGTAATTACCGTAGTGTGAAAGCCAAAAATTCCTTATATCCTTGGATCTTTTGTTATTGCAAACAAATTTGATCTGGCAGCAGAAATAATCAGATGGATAGATGGTAGGTAGGTAGGTAGGTAGGTAGGTAGGTAGGTAGATAGATAGATAGATAGATAGATAGATAGATAG